GCACTACAGGGAGCTGAGTTCTTCAGAAGTGCACATTGATTAATGTGTCTCTTAGTAATGATCCACAAGTCTATATGAAAGCAAGATCAGTTCGATCCAGCCTACTGAAATGAGCCCAGAGAGAGAAAGAGAAAGTGTGAATGTGAGCATACAGAGATCGGCAGCATCCTCTCAACAACGCTCGTATTACTCACAGACACATGAGTTCAGAGATGGATATAGGCAAAATGGATTGAATACATTATGATGCACCGCAATATCATGTGATTTCTGCTCAAAATGAATTCAGAAATCATGGTACTTTAACTACTTTAATTACTGGACAAATAGAATGAACTGGTACCTGGCAAAATTAAGGAAAAAAAGCACGAGCTCCTTGTTACTGCGCTGTTAGAGGAGAGTCAGCAGGCTTTAACTCTCAGTACTTTCTCATCCCCCACTAAGCTGCTTCTTCACTAACTGAACCATAGGAAATGATATGAAGACAAATGATGCACAGAAAAGAAAGTTCTTAGCCAAAATAAAAAATTATGGACATACTGGGCAGAAAACAGAAATGCAACTGTAAAATTATACTTTGTTTGGAAAATAAATAAACAAGTTTTTTTATTTATTAATACTTTTATACGGCAAGAACACATTCAATTGATCAAAAGTGACAGTAAAGACACTTAAAATGTTACAAAGATTTATATTTTAAAAAAAAACTTTCTATTCATCAAAGAATCAAGAAAAAATGAATCACGGTTTCCACAAAAACAAAGACAGTTTTAAACAATTAATAATAAGAAACGTTTTTTTTAAGCACCAAATTTGAACAATTTCTGAAGCATCATGTGAGATGTGACACTGAAGATTGGAGTATTGATCCTGAAAATTCTGTTTTAATTCATTTATAACAGGAATAAATGACCTTTTAAAATATACTAAAATAGAAAACAGTAATTTTACATTGTAATAATAGCCTATTTCACAATATTACTATCCTTACTGTATTTTTGATCAAGCTTTTGAGCATAAGAGACTTTTAAAAAATATATATATATATATATTACCAACCCCAAACTTTGGAACAGTAGTGTACATACATTGCAAATAGATAAAAAAATATTGATACAATGATCTGAAATATTTAATGAAATATGTGAGAAATAAAATTGTGCTAGGCTATATCAATAGAATATTGTATTGGCTCAGTTGCACAATGTTTTAATGTGGATTTCTTATAAAATGACCATTTGAGACCGGTTAGAATGATATAAGCTGAAAATAAGAAATTGCTGATACAGAGGCCACCCAGAGAGTCCGAGTCGGCAGATCTCTGCATTTAAGTGTTGTGATGTTGTAATAGTGCATATTTCGCATGCAGCATGAAGCAGATTTGCCTGAGTTGTACAAATCTTTCCGTTAACTTGACGTGCAATATATTGACCACTAATGGACTAATAAAATTGTAGGCAATGGTGCATTATGCAGTGCACATACTCAGGCCAGGGATACAAGTTCACATCTAAATCATATCCTTTGCTATTAATGTGCACATATATATCATAAGCCCAGAAGTCGCCTCTACTAATTTTTATTTTTATTTTCTCTCTTCAAGATATTTCCACAGAAGAAAGTAAGTCATTCAGTTTGGAACAACATGAAGGTGAGTAAATGATGACAGAAATGTAGGTTTCGGGCGAACAATCCCTTTAACTAGAACAGTTACTTTTTACATTCCAAGGAATTATTAAGAAACCATTCATAATCTAATGACTGTTGTCATACACTGGCTCTAAAACATATTCGCACATTTACTGTTGCTCTCTCTGGCTCCGTAACGCCGTGTTTGGCAGGTTGATTTGGCAGACATTAGCGCAGCACGTTATCCAGACACTTCATTGTGTTGGCTACGTGCGCACAGTTGCCAGAGCTCTCCGATGACAGCAGATCTAGCTTTACACCACTGCAATCACCTTCCACCATAATAGACTATTAATAGAGGAGAGCAGCAAGAGAGACGCTTCTCTTTCACAGTCAGCAGTGTCGCTTTCCCTTCAGACTCTCCAGAGAGGGTGGAAACCCTGTGGCCCACTGTGTGAAGAGTCAGTAGGCTCACAGGGGCTGCCCAGTAGAGATACGGATTGATGGGCATTGCTTCAGTGCTCTTACAAGAGCCTTTGCCCTTATTTCATTAGCCGCTTGACTACAGATCTGCTCCATGACGCTATCACGATGACCCTCATGACCATCTGATAACAATACAGTTCTGACAACACAAAGCCTCTCAAACACTTCCTGGACGTCTTCAGCATGCCTTGCTGGATTGGTGTTTAAGCTGGTAGGTATCATTTTGAAGACTGAATGACAGGATAATACCAAAGTCCTTTATGCTGCCTTCAAGTGCACCTGTGTAACTCGTCCCTTTGGCCACGTTCACACCGCAACAGAATACGGTTGTCAGTCTTGTTTTTGAGTCCTTAATATGGTTACGTTCACAGTCACACACAGTTCAGTTATTTACGGGACTGACAACCGTATTCTATAACCGAACTCACACCTGTACGTTTTCAGGACTCGCAACCGCATTCTCGGAAAACGAGCTGTGAACGGAAGAGGACTGGAACACTAGTTGTCTGTCACATCATAAAGTGCAAAAGAGCCGCTCAGCGCTGCAAAAACGTGTGTCTATGGGTGTTGCGGATTTTCGTGTGGGGTTTCGCTTTCGTTAACTTACAGAGATAGAGATATGAGCTGTGTGTCATCTGAAGGTTTTAGGTCATGATGTTAAAGTGATTGTTCACCCTAAAAGGAAAATTAAGGAATTACTTGATCCAAACTTGTATGAGTTTTCTTCTTCTGTGGAACACAAAAATATATTATAAAAAATGTTAGTACCGGTAATCAAACAATTGACGGTACCCAATGACTTCAATGGTAGGAAAAAAGGAAGTCAATGGCTACCGTCAACTGTCTTACAACCATTCTTCAAAATATCTTATTTTGTGTTCAACATAAGAAAGAAACTCATACAGTTTTGGAACAACATGAGGGTGAGGAAATGAGGACAATATTTAGATTTTTGGGTGAACTATCCCTTTAATCACTCAATGTTAATCACTCACTTTGCTTCACATTTAGTGATTCCATGTACAAAAAGGTGATAGAAATTAATAATTGTCATCATTTGGAATTCAAATGTAGATATATAGGTTTATTCTTCACAACATATTTCTTTTGTTTAGTTTAGACTACTTCCATGTTATGTTTCCGACATGAATGCATGACATGTCATAATGAAGAGCGCCTGACCCTGAGGTAGAAGTTTCCCAGGTGCACTTGAAGGAAGCATTATGTTCTATGTATCAACCTGAAAAGGAAAATAACCAAATCCTCAAAACTATTTGTCAAAGGATGCTAAAACTGACATTTTAAATTATATTTGAAATAAACAACATTATCATACCTTTATGATCTTTTCTTTACCTCAAATCAGCCTAAAAAAACTTCAGGCTGGTCCAGCTAACACAAACGCACATTCTGCAATAAACAAATAGGTTCTTGTAAATGCAAGGACTGCAAGGTGAGACTTCTATTTACAGTAGTTGTGATAAGGAGCGGTACATTTTTTTTTTATCATACATCTTTCCAGGAGGTCTATCTCCTAATATTTTCAACATGCTACAGGGCAATAAAGTCAGCTAAAAAGGTCAATAATCTCAAGGCCACTGTTATGCAATATTTCAGAAACTGCAGAGTCACCACTAAAAGGACATTCTATGACAATTATAATCGTCATAGCCCAGGTAAGAAATATTAACATTGTCCTGTATGCATATCGTCATACAAATACACAATGCGCACTCACTTACACATTTCAATGGGCAATATTTCTGCTCGACTAGCTAAATCATATGCTTCTCTTATGGGACAGACCTAGCTGTGGTAATGAAGCAATTAAAAGACCGTAGTAATTAGGTTCTGTGACAGTTAACTCCTGTCTTCCTGACACACAGGGAGAGATGAAACATGATTACCACTGCTGGCTTAAGGGCCTCTAAAACAACAGGTGGAACTGCCCGAGTTCACAGGTGACATGTGAGGGAGGTTTAAATTTTAAAGAGAAACTGTATCACTGCATAGGCTTCACATCATCAGATATCTCAGCCTCTGTCATTCGAGATGATGTCACACACACAAAAAAACAACAACACAATGACCTAAATTTGTTTTTCCCAACCAAAGCCTATATTATAAGCGTTTGATCCTCGAAAAACGACCTTTTAAATTCTTCCTTTCCCTTTAATTAAGTCACTTTTGACTAAATTACAGTATTGTTGTTTTGTTATATTTTAAGGAAAACTGGTTACCATGGTAAATGTTTGTAAGGATGTCCTGGATTGGTGTATGGTTGGCTAAAAGCTAACACTGGCTACCACATCTGCTGGCCAGAAGCTGAATTTGGACCATAATAAATTACTGGTTGCCAGTTTCTCCATAAAAACAAGCCAGAAATATGATTAGACCGGAATTTGTAAGACACGCCCACATACACACGGAGAAGTCGGTTGTCAAATATTAAAGTGCAACGACTCTCATAACATAAGCGTCACAGTCTCACAGAGGATCGCTGAATGAGAATATCCGTTAACGTTAGCATGAGCGCTAGCTGACGCGCTAATAAAAACACAGCGTACTGTTGTCATTTATTAGACAGTAGTTTATCCGTTCATAGTGACATTTGAGGAACTGGTTTAAAAGAAACACATGGTGGCAAAATGAGTTGAGAGTTTTGAGGGATGGACTAGTAGCATCTGTCCACAGAGACGCGCTCATGAAGTGCGCTGATTGTTCGCATGTGTATTTTGACATGACAGATCCCTACGCTGGTCAGTCACAAAAAAAGAATACTAAAAAAGCCCTTTTTATGCGCAAATATGCATTCCTGTAATGATGACACCAACACAGGTGCATGATAAACAAGACCATGCGTGCGTATGAACGCGTATCATTACCTGTAATAGGACAGCAGTCCATTGCTGAGCACGAACCATCTGCGCTGGTAACCTTTAATGTAGTTAGTCCATTTAAAGAGCCAGCCTTTGTATGTGTCGGAGCCCGGGACTGGTGTCCCGCTCGCTGGCGTGGACGAGCCACTCTTGCCCTGCTCGCTCATCCTCCTCCTGCCCCGGTCCACTGCCGCAGAGTGATGATGATGTCGCCGCCGCTGCTGCTGCTGTTTGCAGGATAAGCAAGAAGGAACTGCTGTGAGAAAGGACACGATCCTGCCGGGGCCGCTGTAGGGAGCGGCCACTCTCCCCATAAACTCTTCGCCGATGCGCTGAGATGGACGGGCTGCCGGAGGAGGAGGGTCTGGGTCTGGGGCAGGGAGAGAGAAACAGCACACTCTCCCCGATGATAGAGAGATGAAGAGCAGCGAGCGGGCGTGAGAGCAGGAGCAACGACCACTGGCGGCGCGAGAGGAGCGCGCGCTCTGAAATCACCCGCGCAACATACATATAGCCTACCTCCAGAGTTTATTCCTCATACAATAGGTCGCATTTTACTCGACACTGTTCATTTTAAACACACATGCGTACGTACTGAGTAATGCAAAGCAAGTGCTTAATAATAAAAATGCTTTCTATTGTAGACACCTTTTCTATAGCCTACATGTAAATGTATTATGTAGCCTACATGTAAATAATATCACGCGCTGCTGGACTATTAGCTCCGTGGTTAAATTAACTTAAATCTTTCCAGTAAGTTCTCGCCAGGGAAAATAGTTCTTCTACAAGAAGCCAAACGGACTGGAACCATAGTGGAACGGGGTGACTCCCCTCAAAGCTTTCTGTTATCACTCAATCGCTTCAACTCCACTACAGGATTTCTATTAGCCGTTCCATATAATTCACACTAGTGAGAAAACCTTGTGTGAACAAAAATATTGGACACATCATAATTCATATGATATCTTTCAATACGGGACGGTCACACGCACACCTTTCATTCGCAAGAGAAAAACACTGCGAGTTGACGTAATAACCCCTAACTGCAAGCAAGCTTCGCATTCATTCATCCGCACTGCTGAAGTACTGTGTGTCAACAAGCGGAGAGATACAAACGCTCTTGGAACACTGTTTAGCTTATCCAATCAGATTTGAGGAACTATTTTACTGTATTTATTTTAGCATGTAGCACGTGTAACGTGGACACCTTATTTAAAGTGTTTGTTATATTAAATATTTTAATATGACAAAAAAAAAAGAGTTGACATCATGGAAATGTAGGACAGTGTCTGCCTTTAATTCTCTGTAAGCAAGTAAATATTTATTATTTATGTCATTCACATATTTACCAGCGTGGGTCTTAAGTGTAAACTGTGTTCAAACTAATTTGGTTAATGTTATTTTATGTATTTTTTATTTATATATTTTTTATTAATAGAAAATATGTATTAGTACTATCATCGTTTTCCCCCCAAGTTTTTCTGTGTATTCATTTTTTGCTTTGAACGGGTTTAGAACTGAATAAGGTGGTATAGAAAGTATAATATATTTTCTGTATTATGTTTTTAGAATAGGTCCGGCAGACTTCAATCATATGATATGATGTTTTGTGATCTCACCAGTTGATGTCGCCACAGAGCTTCAAATGTGGTACAAGCACTTAGATTGGGATATCAGACACAAGTGTATAAAATATTCAAAATAAGAGGAGAATAGCTCAGACGTCGTTTGAAAGGGTTTATTAAACTTTCATTGATGAAACATTACAACTACTAAAAAGACAACATTTGTTTCCATATTAGAAAAAGCAGGTAGCCCTTTAAAATCTAAACCAAATTGACATAAAAAAAATCAGACAGTCCTACCAAGAGAATCCATATTCAGCATGTCTGAAAGTTCAGTCTAAAGCCGTTAACATTACAAGCACAGGACACATTCCACAAGAACATGACATCTGCTACATCATGTTGTCTAGTCCTTAGTCCACAACACTGTGTGGCATGCAAATGTATGAGCCCCTCTCTGCTGTTTTAGAACACTAACCTGACTGCATCTCCATCACTTACACTTAAACTACATGCTAAGCTTTACACTAACATTATACAAAAAAGACAAAAACGATGCTCAAGTTCTGTTACAAAGATCTGCTTGTACTCACTCATGTAGGTACATACAGTATACGTCAGTGCAATTTACCCCTGAATGATTTAAGTTTTGCCAATTAAAGCATGCAGCTCCATTGAACAGAAAACAGATGATTCTTTATGATAAAAAAGTCTGAAGGATGACCAAAGTTACTAACTTATTTATGTTTCCATCTGCTGACAGAAGTTCTCAGCTCTTTTAAGTCATGTAAGATGTGTACAAGTGCATAGATGGCTGTCAGGGTTGCAGGGATTTTTCTCCTGTGCACACTCTGTCTGGTATGAAAATATGTCTTAGGAAAATGAAAATAGGAAAGCATTCGGGGACCATCAATTTTCTCAGTCTAATAAACCTCCACCACCCGTGCGCCAAAGCAACACTTCCACACAGCCAACCAATCATTTGCGCCGACTATCAGTACATGTCCAGAGAACACTCTCTATTTTAGTACATTTGAAGCTCAGGCCAAATGTCTACATGTTCTCATGTTCTAGAAGAAAAAACTAGCCCCCCAAAAAACCCCGAATCTCATTGCAGACACTGAACGAACCACTTTAACTTTAATGTATTCTGCATTCAGAAATACTCCAGAGAGGATGTGGATTGTGCCATACAGACTGCAGTCGACTGCAGTAAAAGACGTAAGCCTCCTCTGCATCTTGGTTCAGCAGAAATCTTCAGGTTTAGGAAGCCCCAGAGGATCTGTTAGCTCTATCATCACTTCTCACAGCTTTTCGAGTGCCAGTGTACATGCTTGCTGAAATCTGTACATAACACCTCACTATCCTGACAGAGGAAGACTTTATTTTGTGCCTCATTTCTTCAATGATCTATATTTAGGAGGTAGGATGTTTGCCATTGTTACTAGATTTGGCAGGGCATATGTGAGTAAATTACAATGCAGTTAATATATAGTATATGTTTTGGCATATCTCTGAAGGCCTAATCATTGGCTTTCAGAGAAAGCGTTTTGATGTTCACATAAGGCTAAAAAGTGTTAGGTTATTGACTACGGCCTTTGCAAATCCACACTCGGGTAGATTGTGAACATATATCAACCATGGGACAAAACACTGAACTGGGGTGGTGTGCATGGAAGGACAGCTCATAAGGAAGAACTAAAACCATTCATTTTGCCATTAAAAAGAAAGCTGTTCCAACAAAGAAATGTCACCCCAATCACATTGTACGAATATTAAACACACTTTTGCCGGGTCTTTGTAAGGTGGACCAGTGAATTACTACACAGGGAATGGGAGAACAGTGAGGTGTTTGTCTGTGAGGTGCAGCATATGGTTAGTCAGGTTTATGAAGTGAAATGTTGTGGCAGGATCTGAAGTGTGCAGCTCTTTCAATATTAATGTCCTGAAGCAGTTTTGCAAAAGAGAAATGAGCCAATGAGGGTATGGCAGGGAATTTTTTGGTTGAAGTCATTGCTTCTGAATGTTAATCTAAAGATAAGACCATAAGAACTTTATAAACATGTTTAAAAAGGTATATTATCTCATTTGTTGCTGTTTTTAATTGGCACTGTAACTACAGATAATTCCAAAGGGTTCTCAAACTTTCACTCATCATTATTCCCAAACCCTAAGTATGTTCTATCCCTTCATAAAAGCTGTTTACAAGCAACAGTTAAAAACTGTCACTCTGGAATACACAGCATCTGAATCTTAATCAAAGCAGGAAGGGGAAATTAATTATACTCTGTTTGAGACCAATGCAATATCTCACTCTCATCCTGACAGACTTTGGTAAGATGAAAAACCCCTTATCTGCTTCCATTTTTCTGTTTGTTAGAGTACGCTGGAGAAAAGTGAAATCAGTAGTATCTAAGGTAATCCATCAGATGAATGCATCAGTTACAGAGGCCCCTAGGTGGTAGTATTCCAGCCATTTCGATTGACAGTTTGTCACCAAAGCTCCATCCTCGTGGTTCAGCAAAGTTGACTTTAAGTATACTGACTTAGGACCAGTTTAAATCAGAAAACACGGAAAATCTGAAAACACAAACTGGTCCTAAATAAGCATAAATTCAAAAAAGGCTACATATCTGTCACATGACATTACAGCGGTTCCTCTGCAATGCCCCCTGGAGACGGATAGAGGTGTGGTTTGGGCGTAGTCCTCGCGCCACGGCTATTCCCAGGAGTTCTTTGAAGAGCAGAAGCACATGCCAGTTATACTTGGCGGAGCACTCGACATAACCGCACTTCCAGGTCTTCTTCACCAGTACAGACACGGCCCTGCGCTGGGTGAACCGCTGCCGCTGAAGGTCCCGCTTACTGCCAACCACCAGGATGGGCACCTCACTACTGCTGCCCACTCTTAAGGAAAGACAAAAGAAGAGACAGAGAGGTGGGAAGGGCAATAGAAAAAAAAGGTTTAAGAGGGAATTATCTAGTAAAACAAACCGAAAACATGAGTATTCATCCATTTCTTACATGATATTTACATTGAACATTATAGTTGTTAATGTTTGAACATCTTCAGCAAACATGCACAGACACACACGCACACATTAAAAGCCTCTCAGCTCCTTGTCACTCTCTTCAAAAAAAGGCACAGAGCTCATAATGTGTGCTGAAGAATGCATGATGTGTGTCCTTTCTCGCTTGACTGCTTGAAGGTCACAGACACATAATGGAGAATGAAAGCGTTTCATGTTCAGGGGGCTTCAAAGGCAAGCGTGTGTGCATTTTGTTTAATTGAAAAAAAAAAGTGTTATACATTTAGTTGGCAATTCAATGGTGCACAAGGAGATCAAATGAAATTGAGAGGTTGTACTTTCTCATTTGCTTAGAAAAAAATGATATATGAATAAATGTAGCTATTAAATAAATGTCTGGCCTAGGCTTTGATTATCTTTATATAATAGCAAATTACGGCACTGTGTGTACACAAATTGCGTATCATAAATATTTAAATAAGTTTAATTTAACACATTAAGTTTAATCGAGGACCTAAGGCCATTCCATCTCATTCATTTTAATATTAAAACAAATACTATTACTGTTATTATTCCGATTCTGCTCATTTCAGTTCCGTCAAATACTGAGGATTTATGCTGTTATATACACTGAACAGAATTATAAAAGCAACACTTTCGTTTTTGGCCAAATTTTTAATGAGCTGAACTCAAAGATCTAAGACTTTTTCTATGTACACAAAAGGCCTATATCTCTCAAATATTGTTCACAAATCTGTCTTAGTGAGCACTTCTTTGCCGCGATAATCCATCCACCTCACAGGTGTGGCATATCAAGATGCTGATTAGACAGCATGATTATTGCACAGGTGTGCCTTAGGCTGGCCACAATAAAAGGCCACTCGAAAATGTGCAGTTTTACTGTATTGGGGGGTCTGGGGGGGTTGGTGGATATTGGCAGGACCTGGAACACGCTGTCGTATACGCTGATCCAGAGCATCCCAAACATGCTCAATGGGTGAAATGTCCAGTGAGTATGCTGGCCATGCAAGAACTGGGATGTTTTCAGCTTCCAGGAATTGTGTACAGATCCTTGCAACATGGGGCCGTGCATTATCATGCTGCAACATGAGGTGATGGTCGTGGATGAATGGCACAACAATGGGCCTCAGGATCTCTGTGCATTCAAAATGCCATCAACAAAATGCACCTGTGTTCGTTGTCCATAACATACGCCTGCCCATCTCATAACCCCACCGCCACCATGGGCCACTCGATCCACAACTTTGACATCAGCAAACCGCTCATCCACACGACGCCATACACGCTGTCTACCATCTGCCCAGTACAGTTAAAAACCAGGATTCATCCGTGAAGAGAACACCTCTCCAAAGTGCCAGACGCCATCGAATGTGAGTATTTGCCCACTCAAGTCGGTTACGATGACGAACTGCAGTCAGGTCGAGACCCCGATGAGGACGACGAGCTTCCCTGAGACGTTTTCTGACAGTTTGTGCAGAAATTCTTTGGTTATGCAAACCGATTGTTGCAGCAGCTGTCCGGGTGGCTGGCCTCAGAAGATCTTGGAGGTGAAGATGCTGGATGTGGAGGTCCTGGGCTGGTGTGGTCACACGTGGTCTGCGGTTGTGAGGCTGGTTGGTTGTACTGCCAAATTCTCTGAAACGCCTTTGGAGACGGCTTATGGTAGAGAAATGAACATTCAATTCACGGGCAACAGCTCTGGTGGACATTCCTGCAGTCAGCATGAATGAATGTGTTTGGGATGCTCTGGATCAGGGTATACGACAGCGTGTTCCAGGTCCTACCAATATCCAGTGACTTCGCACAGCCATAGAAGAGGAGTGGTCCAACATTCCACAGGCCACAATCAACAACCTTTTTTTCTTCTTTCGTTCGTTTTTTTTCATTCCTGGAAGCTGAAAACATCCCAGTTCTTGCATGGCAAGCATACTCACTGGACATGTCACCCATTGAGCATGTTTGGGATGCTCTGGATCAGCGTATACGACAGCGTGTTCCAGGTCCTGCCAATATCCAACAACCCCCCCAGACCCCCCAATACAGTAAAACTACACATTTTAGAGTCGCCTTTTATTGTGGCCAGCCAAAGGCACACCTGTGCAATAATCATGCTGTCTAATCAGCATCTTGATATGCCACACATGTGAGGTGGATGGATTATCTCGACAAAGGAGAAGTGCTCACTAACAGATTTAGACAGATTTGTGAACAATATTTGAGAGAAATAGGCCTTTTGTGTACATAGAAAAAGTCTTAGATCTTTGAGTTCAGCTCATGAAAAATGGGGGCAAAAACAAAAGTGTTGCGTTTATAATTTTGTTCATTTTTGGATTTTGTATGTATTTCGATATTTGTGTAAAAATAGAGAGAAAGAAGAGAATGTGAGTGAGTAATATCAGCACAAAAGAAGAGAATAATCTGTCAGACAGACCAATTCCTTTGTGCTTCATAAAGTCTACACACCAATCCCTCATGCCTGTGTCTGGCTGCTTGTGTCATGTTTTTACACTGATTTATCCCCTTCATACGGTTTATCTGTGCTTTCTCAGTATGACTCCCCTGTCTACACCCTCACTATCTCTCAAACCTTTCAAGTCCATGTTTAGTCAGAGCACTTTTGAGAGATCTTCTACCTCAGCTGCATGAACAGTATACATATTGAGTATACATTCAACATACATATCCATGCATTCTCTAGTTTATATATATATATATATATTGAGAACCAATAACTGAATACAATGATCATTAAAAATGATTCGAAATTGTCCAAATACCTTTTTTTTGCATTATGAAATGTTTTCAAAGCAAATGCAGTGAGAATGTGAAGCATTTGTAAAACAGAGGTGTGATATTGTGGGCGAGGGAAAGTGTTAAGGGTTGAGGTGGCTGCATTTTGTCATTCATTCAGTTCACATAAGGCCTTTATGCAAATACATGATGCTGCACACAATTTATGGGCACAAGACCTGCATATGTAAAAAGATTTTCTCACTGGCATCAATTATATTCTTATCAGCTATAGTGAATGGTGACAGTGTCTATGCTCTGTAACTGTCACTCAACCATATTCTCAAATGTCACCTCATTATCTCAGCATCAGCTGGGGAAACAAGGGCCAACTGTTATTAAAAACATCAAAAACAATCAGTAGTTTGTCACTGCAGCTGATACATTCACATTAATCTGTGCTGATGTGCTACTAAGCTGAGTAAGAAATGGTTTTAACGACCACTGTTGGTCCCACTCCAAAAATAACAGAAGGAATGTCTTTTTATTGGATCTACTATAACATGATAATCATTCTCTACTATTCTTTGAGGTGGGTAATTTCCGTTTCCGAATGCGCTCGCTCTGTCATACCTGTTATCCACAATTTGCTGTCGGATCATCTTGACATACTCAAAGCTCTCCACGCAGCAGATGTCATAGACCAGAATGTAGGCGTTAGCGCTGCGGACTCCTCTACACCGCGCGTCCAACCATTCCTGATGGAAACAAACAGACAGACAAAAACACTTAATCAAACAGATGATGACTGATTGACTGATGGAAAAAAAAACCCCAGATAATTACTTTATTAGCTGCATTTTGGTTGCAGTTAGGTAACATAGAAGTAAAACATTTAAGGTCAAGAAACTGTAACTGTACAGCCTAGCAAGGTTGTGTCACGTACCGCTCTGAGATACACAGATTGAGGATCCAAACGTAGTAGTTTATTGAAAGGATAATCCACAATCATAGTCCAAAAGAGGTAAGATTGTCAAAAGCACAGGGTAAACAGTCGAAACAATGACAGGCAAGGCACAGGCAAACAGAGAAATCCAGGGCAACAGCAAAACTAGTGATGGCAATTTCAAAACACTGCTTCATGAAGCTCCGAAACCTTTACGAATATTTTGTTCCGATCGAATCAATGGTTCGGAGAATGTATCAAACTGCCAGAGTCACGTGATTTCAGTAAATGGGGATTCATTACGTCATAACTGTTTCGGAACGTTTCGAAACATTTCGAAATTTCAATGGTTCACCGCTGAGGGCGATGATCTCTGTCAACCCATTAATATGAGGAGTCACTAAGAACCAATGAACAAGTGTCTGTGGGTTTTACCTGATCTCTGATGACAGATGAAACAAAACAAAAAAAGAGCTTTTTGGCAGCAAACACTTAATATGGGTTTGGTTTACAGGGATAAAAAAGTACCCCCTGTGTAAAATGAAATACTCTGCTGTATCTTTAATGCTGTGGGCCTAATTTTCCTGGACATCTTGTTCAGATACCGTACATGGCATCATTGATTCGATCAAATACCAACAGATAAAAAATCAAAACCTGACAGCCTGTGCTAGAAATCTTATAACGGGCCATGTTTGGATCTTCCAACAGGACAGTGATCCAAAAAACAAACATCAAAACAAAAATGAGTCACTGAGCACAAAACCAAGCATCTGCAATGGCCATCCCAGTCCCCAGACCTGAAACCTATAGAAAACGAGTGGGGTGAATTGAAGAGAAGAAGCGCCAACATGGATCTGGGAATCTGAAGGATCTGGAGAGATTCTGTATGGAGGAATCGACTCTGATCTCTTGTCAGGTGTTCTCCAAACTCATCAGGCATTATAGAAGAAGACTCTATAATGCCTGATGAGTTTTTCCAAGAGCTGTTATCTTGGAAAAAGGAGGTTGCAAAAATTATATAATAAAAGGGGGCAAATAATTGTTCCCAACATGTTTTGGAGAAAAACATTTATTTCATAATGTGATTTCCCCCTCACTTTCAATTCTTTTACTTCAATGAAAGGTTAGATTTTTGCTAATTTTTTAATAATATCTCAAAAGGATTAACAATGCAGATTTATTTTTTACAGCCATCTTTGATCATATTTACCAAGGGGGCAAATAATTCTGACCAGCCCTGTAACTATAACATAATTGCTATAAATACGTTTTATTTCTAGAAAGAGGCCAAAAAAGAGACAAATAAAATACATAGCCCAAACAATATAAAATGTTGTTGAAATGTGTAAAAAAAAAAAAGTAGGCAAAAAGTTCGATTTAGGTTTTGAACAAACCTTTAATTAATGAAGCACTAGTTCTCTGCTGGTAATCCTGAAAGAGGCCTGAACAGGTAAAGAAAATAGCACAAATTTATGTCGAATCACATTTCTTTGTACAACGGTTTTCTTTGTTCCTAATGGCAGCTATCTATACTCTGACCAAGGTATTGAGAGCACCACATGCACTCAGGGGTGTGTGTGTGTGTGTGTGCGTCAAATAGTCGTTTGTATGCTGGTGTGTTATAGTGGCCATTCTCATTAGTTCAATAGAGTGGGGGAGAACTGGTAAGGTTGCAGCCAATGAATAGTAATGATTTACCCACAGTAATTACATATCACCGCTGAATGAGGGACAGCTGAAAGAGGCAGCGAGCAAATTTCTTCAACAGTGGCACACTGACCTCAGCTCCATTCTCCCTCCTTCCCCTCTTCTTAGGGAGCTCTTATGAAATGAACTAAATATCAATTCCACTATTCATTTACACCATCAGATGTAGTACATTCAATATTGTATTATTTGATATATGATATATGAACGATTTTAACATGAACTGCATTGGCGTGCATTTTTTGTGAATATTGTACAACGATAAATGTGCATCATCTTTTGTTTGACTTTGATTATTTGTTCGTACAGTAGCGCCTCAACTTCTGTTAGACCCGGATTGTATGAGTCACATGCTATTAAAGTCCCCATGAAATGGATATTTTTTTATTACTCTAATTCTTCTTATTTTTAATGGAATATTGCATTGTTTATTATAAATGATTTGTCCATCATTATTTTAAAAAAGTTATTCATCAAAAAATGCATTTCCCCTCCCCCTCACAACATCATCTCGTTTCTAACATTGTCAAAACCATCTCACCTCCATTAACATGTCAATCACATGAGATCACATCAATCAGTAAACAAAAACAATTCAATCAATGGACTAAATCAAGTCTCACTCTACTTTTTTTTCCCGAGAAGCAGTTTCACTTGAATATATACAGGTCCTTCTCAAAAAATTAGCATATTGTGATAAAGTTCATTATTTTCCATAATGTAATGATAAAAATTAAACTTTCATATATTTTAGATTCATTGCACACCAACTGAAATATTTCAGGTCTTTTATTGTTTTAATACGGATGATTTTGGCATACAGCTCATGAAACCCCCAAATTCCTGTCTCAAAAAATTAGCATATCATGAAAAGGGTCTCTAAACAAGCTATTAACCTAATCATCTGAATCAACTAATTAACTCTAAACACCTGCAAAAGATTCCTGAGGCTTTTAAAAACTCTCAGCCTGTTTCATTACTCAAAACTGCAATCATGGGTAAGACTGCCGACCTGACTGCTGCAGAAGGCCATCATTGACACCCTCAAGCAAGAGGGTAAGACAGAAAGAAATTTCTGAACAAATAGGCTGTTCCCAGAATGCTGTATCAAGGCACCTCAGTGGGAAGTCTGTGGGAAGGAAAAAGTGTGGCAAAAAACACTGCACAACGAGAAGAGGTGACCGGACCCTGAGGAAGATTGTGGAGAAGGACCGATTCCAGACCTTGGGGGACCTGTGGAAGCAGTGGACTGAGTCTGGAGTAGAAACATCCAGAGCCACCATGCACAGGCGTGTGCAGGAAATGGGCTACAGGTGCCGCATTCCCCAGGTCAAGCCACTTTTGAACCAGAAACAGCGGCAGAAGCGCCTGACCTGGGCTACAGAGAAGCAGCACTGGACTGTTGCTAAGTTTTGCATGTCATTCGGAAATCAAGGTGCCAGAGTCTGGAGGAAGACTGGGGAGAAGGAAATGCCAAAATGCCTGAAGTCCAGTGTCAAGTACCCACAGTCAGTGATGGTGTGGGGTGCCATGTCAGCTGCTGGTGTTGGTGCACTGTGTTTTATCAAGGGCAGGGTCAATGCAGCTAGCTATCAGGAGATTTTGGAGCACTTCATGCTTCCATCTGCTGAAAAGCTTTATGGAGATGAAGATTTCATTTTTCAGCACGACCTGGCACCTGCTCACAGTGCCAAAACCACTGGTAAATGGTTTACTGACCATGGTATTACTGTGCTCAATTGGCCTGCCAACTCTCCTGACCTGAACCCCATAGAGAATCTGTGGGATATTGTGAAGAGAAAGTTGAGAGACGCAAGACCCAACACTCTGGATGAGCTTAAGGCCGCTATCGAAGCATCCTGGGCCTCCATAACACCTCAGCAGTGCCACAGGCTGATTGCCTCCATGCCACGCCGCATTGAAGCAGTCATTTCTGCAAAAGGATTCCCGACCAAGTATTGACTATTGAGTGCATAACTGAACATAATTATTTGAAGGTTGACTTTTTTTTTTCTATTAAAAACACTTCTTTTATTGGTCGGATGAAATATGCAAATTTTTTGAGACAGGAATTTTGGGTTTTCATGAGCTGTATGCCAAAATCATCAGTATTAAAACAATAAAATACCTGAAATATTTCAGTTGGTGTGCAATGAATCTAAAATATATGAAAGTTTAATTTTTATCATTACATTATGGAAAATAATGAACTTTATCACAATATGCTAATTTTTTGAGAAGGACCTGTATCTCAATAGGGAAGAAAATATGATCACAATTTCCATTTCATGCTGACTTTAAATACACTTGTCAAAACATTGTGATCGTAACTTAAGCTTCAAAAAGGACCAGACTTCATGCAGTCAAAAGTCACAAGACTATCCACACAACATCCCAATATGAACCAAACTCTAAAGAATCAGTGATTGTACTGGATAGAGCTAGAATTTGGTGAAATTCCAGTAGATCCTTTAATTGCCATTGTGATCTGCATTTGTGGGTGTGTGTGTGTGTGTGTTGGGGTTGAACAGAAGAAAAATCGAGTGAGAGGGGGAAGTCAAATTGAAGCCATTCGTCACAAGCTGATCTTGCTTGTAAAGAAAATCGATGTCAACTGTAGCAAAGACAGTGTTTGCGCATTCGTCTTGACAGGGGAATAATTACCTTCATCCTTTACCGATGTTAGAAAAGCAGAACACTGCTAATATTTACACTCAGAGATGACCCCTCTGATGCTGCACTGAGATTCACACTCACTCATTAGTGTAATAATGAAAGCAACTAGATGTGCAGATAAACACACTGGCAAATCATTATAGCATAAACTGACAAGGGAGGAGGGATATTTCAATTGAAAATGAAAATTCACCATCATTTTCATTCGCCCTCATGTTAATCCAAAACTGTATGACTTTCTTCTGAGGAACACAAAATAAGGTGTCGGCAATGATGGGTCAAAAACAGCATTTGGACCTCACTGACTTTCATTGTAGAGACTTTTTGTTCACCAAAAACAGTAAATCATGACAGAATTTTGAATTTTCACTTTTCAGCAAACAATCCCTTTCTGCATTCGTATCACACTCTCCAGCTTCTGACAGA